CCTTTTCAATAGGTTGAATTGTTTTTTGTGAGAAAAATGCAAAGCACACAAAGCAAAGACATTCCCTCACACAATAACATTTCACTTCCATCTCTAAACAGCAACAAAATGTTCACCCTGGAGATTCAGATACCAGCAGATTCATTTTCATCCATTGCAAGAAAGAGAAAGCGTGCCCCTGGTGATGTTAGCAGATGGCGGGTGGACGGGTTGGACAGATGGTCTGAAGGTTCTCCAGCTGCAGCGATACACTGCAGGGAGCTGAGGCTGCTCAGTTCTACCGCCCAGCTATACACAGCAGCACCATGCACCCAGCCACAGGGGTGACGGCCCGGCACCATGACGAGTCAATACACATATACCAGCACTGGGCTGTGTGAGTGTGCGTGACAGCAGCCTACAGGCTAAATAAGGTTCTGGCACTCCTATCTAGCATACTGGGACACAGCTCTGGTCCACAAGCCTTATAAGGCTGTAGTTGGCTGTCTGGATCTCCCTGTTTTGTGTTTGTCTGTCTGTGTGCATGTGTGCATGTGTGTGTTTTCTGTCTGTGTTGTTGTATTTTAATTGTTTTATGGCAGGCTGGTCAGTGTCAGTATCAGTATGTTACTCTGGCTCTTCAGGCCCAGGTCAATCTAATAATAGCAGCAGTCTGAAAACTATTAACACAAAACCTTCAACACACTCTCCTCCCCCTGACACACTACAGACACAAACACACGCCTCTTATCCAGCCTAATGTCCCCCATACAGTATCTGTCTTCACATGTTTCTACATGAGCTACAGACGGCTTCTCTTGGTTCCAAAACCAGTTTCAATTAGTTAGAGGTTCAAGAAAATGCATTCAATTTATTAATGATGTCAAATTTCACTGAAACTTGTAGGAATGATAAATGGGCCATAACTTGCTAAATTAATGTCTGTGGCAACAAATTAAGTTAAGTAAACAAGCCTATTCCCAACAACACTGGCAGCCTATCTGTGGTGCATTTTATATCATTCCATTTAAATCAAGCTCCATATCTCTTTTTTCAGTTCAAGGAATCATGGCTGCTATCCTTACTATCCTTTTTTTCTAGGGTGGATGCCTGATTAAGAGCTCGGGGACACTGCAAACCCAACTACACCTGTGACCTGCACCCTTTGGACAGTACTGTGTCAACCATACGGTATCCGTGCCCAAATGCGTAACGTACTTTATTGTCCATTTCCCTCTCAATGGGACCATCATTTATACAATGAACATCATGCTGTATTGAACAAAACTTGAAACTTGCAATTAAGAACATTAACTCCTTAGGAAAACGTTTATTGACATTATGAATGAACTGAATGAAATGAGAAGTAGTCATTTTCTTAAAGACTTAAACTGACTTCTTATAGAAACAAACGGAGTCGCCCTCTGCTGGTCGTTCGAGACAATATAGCTTTCAGGCAGTTTTGCATTGGCTTCACTTTCTAGATCTGCAGTCTGTACATGCTGTAGGTAGCTAAAGCTGATGAAAGTTATAGAAGAAACACTTATTTCATAATTTAAACTGCTGCTGCCTTGTCTGACAGTGTGTTCTGCTGTGTAAACACAGAGGACATCCAAGATGATTCATTGTACTGCCTACTTTTAATCTGCTCTGACTCCATCTCCCACGTGAGGTGCAGAAGCTTTGTACTCCCAGCCTGAATACACAAATACTGGGAAGGCAGTCTAACTTAATATGTGGCTCTATTTGGAGTGAGGACCACACTGGCTGGGTCATTAATGTGGAGGAAATCAGTGTGATGTTTTTCTCCATAGATGTTGGCGCATGAGATCTGATGGCACTTACAGTAGGGGGCACTCTGCTTTTCCCTCTCTTGTCTGTTTGTTTTTGTCTCTGTAAAATGCATGTGCTTGCTTATTTAGTCACACTGACACTCGCACATTCATTCTCTCACCCCCATGTCTCCCTTCTGCATAACTAAAAATAACCTCAGCTCATAAACAAACCCTATCATAACCCTGCACCCGAGCTCTAGCCTTGAAAAATACACTTTAACAGCAAAATAACCCTCTCAATAGGATTCAGCTTCCTGTCCCTGCACACACACACACTCACACACATACACACACAAATACCTTAAATGAGGTGCTGAGGTGATGTAACCTAGCAACAGCTTGCCAGACTCAACAGGTTGTACACAGAGGGACGACACAAACAATCAACGACCTTCTTCTTTATCTGCAGGCTAAGAAAAAAAGAACTGACAAACTGATGTAAAGCTCCCTGTTTCATACTGACTGGGTATTACTGTATATTTTAAACTTTGAACAGTCATTCCTATTTCAATAAAAGGTAAAATGATGATTGTGACGGTACTTCACATGCATGCTCAGCTATTGTGTTGCAATGCTCCTCACTGAGGTGACGTTGATGAACTCATAAATGGTCTGTACGCTCAGTAACAATGAACTGATAGGGACTTGCATCCTGAGAACATTCAGTGTTTTGCACGTGTATGTACACATGGGGCCAGATCTTATGTTTGAACTTCATGGTTTGTTTTTCCAAGTTCTTTTTCCATTAAATCAGTTTCTGATTGTCTGCATTTCATCTGTTGTAACCCTTACAGTTACTTACACCACCACCATGAATTAAAACCTACAATCTAAAAATAACTGTTTACTGTTTACTCTCTTTCCAATGTATCAGAACTGTATTAAGTAACCGCTAACGCAAGCTGAATCTTGACCTGTTTTAAACCTATACACACCAAAAATAGTGCTTAAAAAAGGTCATTGACTTCTTCCCATTGCCAGCAGGAGTGTTTTTTTCTGCTGAATCACATTCAACATCATGATCTTGCTGGAAAACAGGGTGAGTAAATTGTAGAAAGCATCATGGAGGCCAGAGACTTACATCTTCGTATTTTTGACCTCAGTCTATTCAAATTCAACACTGGCTGAACGATGGTGGAGCTTGAACAGAGAAATGTGTGGCTGAGATGGCACAGACTCAAAGAAGTTACACCTGAGTGATACACGTCATAGCACTGCTGCCGTAAAAGTGGGTAAACATAACGTGTCGACCTGCCGATCGGAGCTGGAGGTGATAAATATCCATGACTACTGCAAAGGCATTTGATTGTACCCTTTCCCACCGAAGACAAAATTAGTGGGGCGTTAGAGGCTTTACTGAAATATTGTGTCTTTGTTCATCTGAGCTGTAAACAGAAATATTTATTTTGTTATATTTCTTGAAGCAGCTAAAGTTGGTTTTTTGCAGTATTGAACCACATTTGTTGATGCCACAGAAATCGACAAATAAACCAACCAACCATTTTGCCTCTTTGCATCAGGAGTTCTGCAAACTGAACTTTGTTGTGAAAACGACACCAACAATAAAGAAAAACTATAAAGCATTCATGGCGGTAATACATATAAAAAATTCCTATCGGCATTGTGCCTTTCATTTCTACATCAATTACATTGTTTAGCCATACATCTTATTTCTATGGATTTTATTGTGGGTGGGAAGGAAACGAAAAAAATACCCCCCCCCCCCTAAATTATTAGATTAATAAAAAATCCGAACTAAATGGGACAGATAGGGTAGGGCCCAGTGTGGGAGCTGTCAAGGCCGGTTAGGTGGACAGACAGTCATGCTGGAGCCGTTATCTGTCTGCTGCAGTAAGACAACCAACAGAGAGAGAGAAGGGGGGCACTGCTCTGAGGCAGCACACATACTGCGAGGAAGCTTTGTCATCAGGCCTGTGTGTTCTCTGGACAATCTCAACCTCACGCATCTTTTAATAAATACATCATCACTTATATTTCTCTCTGTATCACATTTCTTTCACCCTGTATCTTATTTTAATTGTATTAAGGTAAGTACAGTAGCACTGTACGATAAGTTGCATACACTATTTGGAAAAGCCACCAGCATGGATTCTGAAACTCTGTATGCTTTCAAAAATCTACTTTACATTAAAGTCTCTAATTACAGCCTGACACTATGCAAATCAACAATAATGAGCCAAAATGATACATTAGCAATAGATACTGCAGAACAGAGGGGCTCATTAACATATCGATTTTCAGAGGCCCTTCAGAAGGCCAGTTGTCATGTTAGCATAATAAATGGTTGTCAGGAGCTCTGTCCTTACTTCCTGCTCGACAGGTGCCAGAAATACTTAATAAGCACATGTCCGTGTTAATGATCAGATGTGAGGCAATATAATCTGGAGCCATTACTCACAAGTGTGTGCTACAGTACAACACACCCCCAGAGCTGCCTCTGATGGAAGCTGCGCTCATAAATAAAACAGCCCTCATCAGAATAAAGGCGTTACGATAAATCACAGATAAAAAAGGCTTCGCTTTGATTTTTCTGCTGATTGACTCTTGGTAAATAATCTTTAAGGCCCAAATAGTTGAGGAAACTAGGGACACTAAATAACCCATCTGCATTCAAAGTGTGTTTACACTGTGAGATTTTCAGGCTGTCTGAGCCTTGGAAGGAAAACAGAATCCCACACACTGTCCATCACTTGTACTTTAAAAACAGTCACTAACAAACTTTTCGGAAATTGTGACCCGACTGTGAGAAAGTTAACAGTCGTGACAGAAATGTGGTAATAATATCTGCTTGTCAATCCACAATGTAGGTCCTGGATCTCACTGTGGCACATGTCTGCTGATGGCTGACTTGGAAAGAAAATATATATATATTTTTAAAGTTGTATAGTTTAGAGACTTTCTAAATGTGTATATGTATATGACATGCATTGATCTCAATATTACCTCTGTACTGTGTTATATATGTATATTATATATATTTCAATGCCTGTGTAACTTGTTAATATTAGAGTAGCCTACAGTTTGTATGATTATCACTCAATGTACTGACAAACGGCTCTTATATCTATTATATGTTTCTGTTGTAGCTCATAAAGGATAAAGTTCAAAATTAATGAAATTCTATAACAATATAAAGGTAGTTGCGGTTCAGTAATAAATCCATACCTCATGCCCTCAGTGGACTTGTTCTGATAATTGCAGTAGAGCTGCGGAGTGCCCAGCATTGCTTCGGCGAACACGGCCAGGAAGCCCAGAGTCTCCACGAACAGCGTCGAGTCCAGGAGGACGTAGGTGATGTAGGCTGCCATGAGCGTGAAGCCCAGCACGCACTGCACGTAGTCCACGAAGCGGCTCCACGACCAGAAGTAGCTCCAGTCAAAGTCTAAATGGTGCACAACAAAAGGGAACCAGAGATGATTACACAGAAATGATTTTGTCTCGCTCTCACTCTTTTTTGACAAATAGCCACTAAAGGTCTACAGATGAGATTTGTGTTGAATCTCTGAATGATGACACTTTGTTTAAAAAAGAATTTGTGGTGTATAGGCAGGACAAAACTCTAGATGAGTATTATACTTAAAGAAACTACTCTACTTCATAACATATACTGTAAATTGTTGTTGCAGGTCACTTTGTCCTTAACATCCATATGTCCTTTTATACATGCATGAAATCAAATTCCCTCCTTCTCACTTCTCATTTTCCAGCACAGGAGGAAATAATTATCTTCCAATCCCGACTTTTCTTTTTCAGGCAGTATCTAGTTAATAAAAGGAAGCATAAAGTCTATTACTGTGAACATTTCTAACTTCACACATGAGCTGCGAATTTTCACACGACTCCCACAATCTCCGTCTTGTATTCAGAAAAAAAAAATATATATATATATATATATATATATATGTCACGGCTACAAATAGGCTGTTTGAACTGTGCACGACTTGGACCTGTTCTCATTCAGATTCTTGCTGTAGAAGGAGCAACTTGTAAATCCAGGGTCTCAAGGGAGGAGGCTTGAGTGAAAAGCCCTGGAGGGGGGGTGACAGTCAGATGAAGTTACAATATTTTCCACACACTATTAATGGGCTGGGTGGGAATCTAGACACTGATAAATGATTTAGAGCCAATTTAATGCCCTAACACCTCTCATGCCCTTTTCTCCAAGGAAATGATCAGATAAAGATTCTGAACACAACATCACCTGCTTTCTGTAATAAGCAACAGAGCCAATACAAATCACATTGTGATAATACTGTATCTCAATGCTTCAAAGCATTGACTGCTTCAGGTACTGCCCTTCTGTAGCTGATAGGGGACGAGAAACAATGAGCAACAGTAAAAGCATCTAAACGTGTCTTTATGGTACGGGTGTTGTGAAAACAGTTCACTTGTAACTGCTGGTTTAATGTGAGAGCAGAGGAGATTGAAAAAATTAATCATGGAAATCTAATCATGTGAGAAAGATGTTGCTGCTTGTCTCTTAAATAGGGTTTCTACAAGCCTCAAATGCAATAGAGCCAATTCAGTTATGTCTAAATGAGGATCTGCTTATCTGAGAGGCACATGTAGGTTCACTGAGGCTGCTGGTGGAGGCCTGTGTAGGCCTCCTGCAAAGGGCCCTGACAGAGATTAAAGCTAAAATAAAAACACTGTTTAACAGAATTGATAAAGACATTATATTGACTAAATTAAACTAAATGGCTGCTTTCCAATATTGGAAGTGAAATAAAAACATTTCTGAATTTCAGTTTATGATTGAAGGAAGTATTGTTTATATACGATTTTGACATTTGGATGGCATTTCTAAATGAATACGCATGATAGGCAGTAACCTGGCAGTGCAATATTCAGCCAATCCAATTGTTGAATGTAACCGAGTGACTCTTAAAGAGCAGTTGAAACCAGGTCACAGCAGTCTGTCAATCCACTACCATGCAACCAAGATTTACCATGGCAAAATCTTACAGTCATGTAGGGTGGCAACACAATGCAGCGCGCTAAACAAAAGGGGGACACTTCAGCGTATAATCAACACTAAGACTATCCTTTGAGCTGTTATGTGTGCTGTATAGCAGTGTTTACTCTGAAGGTATTTTGGCTGTAGATGCCTGGTGTAGCTGTGGCACCTTGCTGGCAGCAGAGCCAGGGGACTGTGAATCTGGGCCAGCTAGCACCAGGCTGGCGCTGTGTGATAACAGCCAAACACTGGGGGAAGCAATCAAGGGCAACAAAGCAGATATCAGCACCAACCTGGCGGCTGAAGGCATGAGCAGCTTCACACTGAACATGTGATACGTGTAATGTACGGCTCCAAGTGATGATACAACTTTAGGCTGTGAATACAGTAGAACCTGGCTGCAGCATTAACATTTACATTAATTTGTTTTGTTAATCTTCTTCAAACTGAGCTGATCTTTGGAGTATAGACCATGAGCTTTAACATAATTAGTGTGAAACTGTAAAAGTGCGAATGGTAAGGGTGTGCCTGTTTTCGCATTGGAAAAAGCACCTTGTGGACAGAGCTACATGTAATTTCATTCCATGCTGACCGAGAAGGGAGGGAGAAGGGACGTTTATCAGCACTGCACCTCAGTTATACCCTGCCACACACCATCTCTTGCTGAGCCACTTGTGTACCCTGGAGCAATTTCCTCTTCCCCTTTCATCCCTGCACGGCGTAGCTGCAGCGGTGGCGCTGTGTGGGCACAAACTGGAGCTGTACACAACAGACTCCCTGTGGTGGCCAAACATGTCGCAGGAAGCTAAGTTGGAAGTCCCACAGAGTTGTGGTACGTGTGTAGGAAGACTCTGGTCAGAGAGTTGGAGATGTCAATTGCATATTTACCTACTGTTCCCAGTTAGCTTCAGTTAGGCCCCGGAAATTCTACGGGGTTAAGTGAAATAATGGCTTGCTGTCACTCAAAATCCCCCGTGGGAGCAGCAAGAACATTATTATGAACGACAGTTATAACAGTTTGAATTCAACAAGCTTCATTTTCAGACTTTTGGTCAGGGAACTTGTCACAATGACTAATGGGCTTTCACTGCCAAAACCAAAGTACTGCAAAGTTTCTGCACTGCCTCCTGACTTAAATGCAATGTACTTTTCTTTCAAATGGACTCAGGCAAAAAGTTAGGACTCTATCTGCCCTAAGGGAGGGAATAACTGCACCTACAGGATAAAGTGATTTATTCTAACATGCCATTCTCAAGGAAGGTACAAGCAGAAACCCTTGAGGGACAGAAATGAGAAATGAGTCATTACCAGAAAGAAGAAAGTGTACTGCCATGTAGCTGAGTTACATTATTACCCCAACTTGTCACCGGTACAGGACCATTCAAGCACTGTGACATAATCTACATAACTGTTGAGTCATTTCTACATGATTCGTTTTGGGGCAAGTTATTGACAGTGCTCATTTGCTCATTTTCAATTTAATTAAATTTTTGTGTGTGATAGGGAGCCTGGGAATTGGATATGAAGTTAAAAAAATAAAAAAAGAATCCCCATTTTGTGTTTTACCACAAAGTGTTCTGTCAGGGAAAAAAGGGTTGTGAAAGTTGTTATGATTTACACTCAACTTTCCTGGATGCAAGACCATTTTTGAAACAACCACTGAGCAGAAACATCTGTATAAGAGCAGTTAAACCAAAGTAGTTTAATGAAAAGTAGAATGCTAATATCCGAGTGTAAAGAGAAATGTCATGGAGACGGATCTGCAGATCATCTGTCAAAAGATAAATTGAGCTCAATGCTACTCAGCAACTACATTTCACATTGATCGAATCCCTCAAGACGGATATTAATACCAGGTTTGAACAGAGCCTGACTGGGATTACTGTTGACATTGAGAGTGAATGAGGATGTGTTGTTAAAAGTTACTGCCTCTTTGGAACAAACAGGCGAGCTATTCAGCCGCCTGAAACCAGAGGCCCTTTAAGTTTGCATAGGAAAAATTCAATCTTTAAGCAGAATCTTATTTGATGGTTTGCTTGCTGAAGTTAATTCAATTTTATGCTGCTGGAGATTTTGAAAAATCCAATCAGTGTTCCTTCATTCAGGTCTGTGATGTGCAGTAACTACAAGTAAAGTTTGACTCAAAGTCTCTGCTGTTTCCTCACGTCACTGCCAATAATGTATATTTCATCTTACATCTTACTTACTCCCTCCTTCCAAACCTGTTTACCTGCCCCTGAGCGATCACCAGCATTTCTGATTCTGACACAGCCAAATGATCTGATCTTTTAATCTCCTTAAAGGATTGCAGCAGGCACTCATCCATATAAATCACACTGAGCCTCTATTACAGCAGGACAATTCCCCCGTCTGAGATAAAGCTAGACATGCTTTAACAAGAGACGTACTGTACAGTGCGGATGAAGCCATTAGTGTGACTGTAGCTACAGCACCACGGGCATTCTCCTATGTCGACTTTCAATCACAGGATTTTAACTTGGCTTTCAAATTACGAGGCACAGTGCTCACAGCTAGTAATACCTATTATAATCCATCCTTGTTCAGGCATGCTATGAAGTTCTATTAAAAGTCAGCAGCATTGTGTTTTTCTATCTGGGGGACACATGCCCAGCTGTTTGATGGAGGTGCATGGTGGGATAATGATTCTGCGCTGCAATGAGAACAAATAAGGGCTACCTTAAGGCTGAGCATACATAAAGTGAGCAAACTGACCAATCACAGAAATGCACAGGTTGAGATTTTCTCCTGCTGATTAAACAGCACCCTGGTGAGTCACTGCAGAGACTGACAACGTGAAGCCCCTCCCCCTGACACCTGCACACCAGTTTGATGTTTTGTTTTACTGCGAGGACCCTGAACCTGACCAGAGGTTCTGCAGGCCTCCGAGTGAAGGTCTGCGTCTCACAAATTCCCAGCACTGCTGTTTTCCCCCCATTTCATCCTCCCAGTGAGTGTTTTCATGCTCTCTATAAAAAGTGGTGTACAGCATGCTCATCCTTCCTCTGATGTTACCGCTAGTAGATCAATAAGCAGGCGCAGACCAGCAAAGCTGCGACAAAGGAACATGGCTGAACTTTCTGTCAATTCTCATGATGCTTGGAAGAGCTCACTGATCGATGAGTGTTCAGAAGAAGACGCTGGTGCCAGCCTCAACATGCGGACGAATTGAGGCAGCCGGCCGGCAGCACCTCACCCCGGGCCCCCAAGAGGAGCAGATATCCTGCTGCTGCTCCTCTGATGCCAGAAACTGACAAAGAGGCAGAGGCACTGAACGACACAACACGAGCGAGAACCGTTCAGGCTTTTCTGATTCTGTTGATCTTAAAACGATTAGAAACATCCAACGAATTAACAATGAATTACCAAGTCATCAGTGTGCATGAGTTGTACTATACATCATAAAACACTGAGCCAAGTCCACTCAGTCAAAATATTGTTTCCTACTGCCATCTAGTGTCTTTTCCAGGAACAACAGCCTATAATACACACTCAGCGTGTACAGTCAGTGTGCACTACAGTACCAAGCTTTGGCTACACAGGCAATTCAATCAGGCAGGTTAAGAGTGTGCAGATTATTGATTAGTTGATCACTTCAACAAGCTCAAACTAAATTTTATTTATAGCAGATCCACAGGTTTCTTGACATATCTACTAAAAAAGTGATATGATCTTTAAACCAAGTGTAGTTCAATGGATTATGTTAAAAGCCAGTTAGAAGAAAACACATCAGAAAAGATGATTTGCATTCACAGTTCAGCGCAGGATAACATGCAGACACGCACGTTTAAGGGTCCTCAAACACAAACACTCAGTTGCATGCATCTCAAACCACACCTACTAAGCGTTAACAGTAAGTGGTGAGTGGACAGTGACTGTATTCTATCAACAGGTTAGTCCACTGTAAATCAATGATTACTGATGAATTGATGATTTCAGTCTGAACTGTCATTTCACATAAATGATAAAGAAACAATACATGCAAAAAAAATCTCATCCACGCAGGTTTTTCAATGCAGATCAATGCGTCATTAGTACTGAGGATGTGAAGGGCAACATGCATCGGAAGCATCACAGCAGTGGCAACAATGGAATCATTCATCGATGAATCTAAATGCAGCAAACATGTTGATGGCGTTAGTGATAATCGGTTAGGGTCGAGCGGCAGCCACACTGGGTCATCATGCATGAAGACAGAGAAATGGAGAGGGACAGGCGGATGAACTACAGCTGATGTTTCATGGCAGACACAGTAAGTTCTGTACATACCCAGAAAGAGCCTCTTAGGGATTCTGACCTCCTCGTCCTTAATGTCTGTTGCTACAGACGAAAACAAAAAATAAGAGGGAAAAAAACAGGGAAAGAAAAAAAATAGGGCTTGGTTTTCTTCGTTTCTTTATGCAAATCCAGAGCTGACCCCCATTACTCTGTAATACAGTGACATTTCAACTGAACGTAATAGTGACACTGCAAAAATACCGTGATCAGTCATATCATTGTCGGGAAATTAGTACAAAGGTCTATGGAAGTATGCAAATATCGTTGGTACCTTTTCACCATTAAAGGCCCTGAAAATATTTTTTCTCTATTAGCTACATGGGACAATGTGCATACAATGTATGAATACACTTATACAGCACTTTTCAAGCTTTCCAAATCAAGAAAGTAAGTTCTAATACTGCTTATGTTGTTGGGTCACTGTCGATGAAACCACACCAACACGGACCCTGTTTTTAAATCGAGTTAAATCTTAACAAAAAATACAAAAGGATTTTGTACTTACAACTATAATCTTTGTTTAAAACTAATGTTTACCTGATAGCATTGTTTTGTTTTTCTGTAGATACTACTGTTGTGAATTTTTTAGGCCATGATAATAATGTAGTGAAAATGCGATACTGTGACAGTCCATCTTTTCCCCTCTGAATGGAGATGACTACAGATTTGTGCTAATTTCTGTTGTTACCGAGTATTTTGAAATCACGCAACTCATCTCTACTTCATGTCCCTATATATGTTCTGACTGCCACAGGAAGCTCACACATCCAGTCCTGAATGTAAAGTGTGTGTCGAAGGAGAGAAACTCTAGCTCTGCAAACAACATGTCCTGCAGCCTTCAATCGCATGACTGAACAACTTTGGGCTGTTCCCCCTGTACACTGGAATGGAAATGAACCACAAAGCATGTAGTGTTCAACGTGGAGGTTACTGAATAACTTAATGTGACAAGCTAGGATTTTACAGTTGGCAGCAGCGATTATTTATTATTAATATCTCATTTGTACCTTTAGTATTAGCATTAACAGAATAGTAACAAAGTGTCTATTTTACCAATAAATGTACTATCTCTACTTTGAGAAGATATTTTACAGAAAATAAATCATTTACAAGTTATGCATTCTAAAAATGTGCTTGTGCTTTGCATTGAGGTGCACAATCAACATGGTCAATCTGCTTTCTCATTTTCAATAGAGGGGAAGTGAAAACCTCAACCCACAAACTGAGACTGAGGAAGCTTTGCACTATTTAAAACTCAAGCTCACTGTCATTAACGACAGCCTTATATAACTGGATTTGTATGTATTTGCATGTATTGTTGTGCCCATATAAAGCTCACATCGATGGCCTCTGTGTATTTTGGATGCCTTATAGTGCTGTTATTGTTATTAGGGATGAGAGATGCAAATTATTTGCAAAATAACTCAGGTGCTTTTGCTTCTAATTGTACACTGTCCTTATAAAAATAAAGAATTAGAGCAAATGATAATAAATTTTTTTTAAACGAATGTCCTTCTGTATCAGACAAGCACTGATCTCCCCTTGTAAAAACTCCAATGTGAGAACACAGCAGGAGATCCTCCACAGGATTCACTACATGCAAGTGGGTATGTTGTATAAATAATACAAATTCACATAGTAGGCATTGACACAGATGTCAAGAGGGCCTATGTGGTGGTGATCTCCACAGCGGAATCAACCCGGGATTTCTGTGTTGTTGTGAACTTGTCTGACTGGAGAATCTCCTGCTGCGTTCTTTATGTGTGAAAGGCAAACTCCAGAGAAAGTGAAACTCTTCAGGGTTTGTGTCTGAAACGGCTTTCAAGACTGATCCTGTGGACATTTACTTTGGGGAGGAACGGCAACGTTATCTGTTAACACCATGCACGCACACATCCCCTTTCTCAACTGTCATCCATGCACCGGCCTACATGCATTCACACCAACTCCCCCTCAGGCACATTCATACACAAACACATTTCTCTCTGTCACTCACACACACTCCCACACATACCCCCTCTTTTTGTGCACATACACTTGAAAGCACACGCTAACTCATCCACTCACGCAGTGCTGATGTCACTACGCTTTATCTGCACTGTGAGGAGGCCCTCTATTAGATTTCTGACCTAGGAAGGAGCGTCTCTTGGTGTTGAGTTCGGTGGCCATGCGGACGCTGGTGCACAGATTGAGCATGATGAGCATGGTGGCGATCATGATGATGCTCTGCCACAGCAGCAGCGTCTCGAAGTAGCGGCCAAATCTGAAGAAGATAAACAGAAGATTTTGCAAGATGTTAGTGGGTTGGTTGGTTAGTCAGTCTTTATTTCAGATTCTAAGGTGCAGTATAAAATAAAATAAAAATTCATACTTAAATTTCAGACATTATCAGTTTTAAGAAACACTTGAACAAGAAGACTTTTGTTTCCACAGATGAACACCTTGTGTCACTTGGTGTTGTCTCGGTAAAGGCCCTTACGATCAAGTTTTTTAAGTCAATTCATCATAAACAAATTTAGGCATTACATTTCTCAACAGAGCATCAAAGGTGAGGACATTGCTATGGCCACATAGCATTTTTCTGCTCCAAGAACCTGTATGTGCAACCACAAATAGAAAAATTGGTGTAAATGATGCCGTTTCAAGTGGAATTTGAATTTTGGGACTTATGGACACTAGGAAGACACCACAAGTTTAAAGAAGTGGTCACCACTTGATTCAGTTGTATTGGATTCGGCTGCAACACTGTTCACCACCGTAACTCCAAGTGTTTTGTGGACTTAAACTCTTCACCCACCCCTTCATCGGCATAGTGGTGTGTGGATAATGAGTGAATTTGAATGTTTTTGTTGAACTATCCATTTAAGCCTACTTCTGTAGATTATATACAATGAATAATATGCAGGTGAGCATTAATCTGGCGGACTTGAGACTGATGTTTGGTCAGTGTACAACCTGGTCTGCTGCAGGAGAACACGGGGAGTGACAGGTTACCTGAAGAGGATTCTCAGGATGTTCGCCACCAGGAGCACCAGGCACACGTAGGTGGAGAAGCCCTCTGCGTTCTGTGTCCGGCGGATGTCTCTGTACTGCGGGATGTAGGGCACCACACCCCCGAACACCATGGCCCCGGCGGCGACCCACGACACCAGCACGTTTAACACGGACACGATCTGGTCGAAGAGCTCCTCGTCTTCCATGTCTCAGCTGCTGCTCACAACACCTGAGGATGTGGAGTGAGATCACCTGTCTGTCTCTGGCTCTGTGGAGACTGTCCTCAGGTTTCTGTCCTCCTCTGGCTGGGTGGAGACTGTCCTTAGGAGTCTGTCTTCCTCTAGGTCTGTGGAGACTGTCCTCATGTGTCTGTCCTCCTCTGGCTCTGTGGAGACTGTCGTCAGGTTTCTGTCCCTCACTGCCCTGATGTGTCTGTCCACCTCTGGCTGTGTGGAGACTGCCCTCAGGTGTCTGTCCTCTGTGTCTGTGCAGTCTGTCCACAGGTGTTTGTCCTCCTATGGCTCTGTGGAGACTGTCTTCAGATGTCTGTCCTCAGGTGTCTGTCCTCCTCTGGCTGTGTGAACACTGTCCTCAGGTGTCTGTCCTCCTCTGGCTCGACGTGGAGACTTTCTGAAGGTGAATAGAGGAACATCCGTGTTTGTCGAGTATACTCCTCCTCTCAGGGGACAAAGCAGCAGCTACTGCCACGCCATCATAAGCACGAGTGAGGCTAAGACCCCGGGAGGACGCTGTCTTCACAGAGACAGCAGACAACAAGCACACGGAGACACCATGTGTTTGTTCTCTACTTCATCCACAGAGGAGCTAGGCTACCTGATGTCAGCAGTGATCTGGAGCCCGATCGTCACATTCAACTCTTGATGCTATAGCTAGCGTTGTTTATCAAGGCTGCACTCAACTCAAGAGGAGAACCCTCCTCGCTTCCTGACTCTGTGTTTAAAGCCCTTGGTTGAAATCACCGGTACACATGTAGTAACACTTGTAAACGATTTCCTGCGCAGCTCCTCCGTGTTGAAATGACTCCCAGTTTATTATCTGACCGGTTTAGTGATGTTTTAATCTCCGGTTTCACCGCACACTTCCTGAAACGTCACGCGGCCACACAAAGGGTCATCAGCTCAGTCAAGATAGTTCCCGACACACACAATCTGAATCGCTTTTGAACGGCGTCAACACAGATGACAAATCATGTAATAATGAACATATCAATCAAATGTGTTAAACATGGCTTATCTACAATCTGCAGATATGCGGATATTGATCATTCTTGTATGTTTTTGTGGACATGCTGATGAAACTTCTATCCATTACACGTTTCTGTGTAAAATAACAACACAATTCTGGTCTGATTTCTAAGTGGAGCATTTTAAAGTGTAAAAGTCAAGTTGTCAGTGCTCACTGCTGGAGAAACTCCATAAAGTGACACCTTTCTTTGCTCAATCAAGTCTGGAGTTTATCAGTGCTTATCTGCACAGTTTATGCACCGGTGAATATATCAGCTACTATCAGCCTAACAGCTGTGAAAGGAGATGTATCTCCAGTTTATCATCATGGATGAGCAGGAATGTGAGAAAACCATCATAATGAAAGTTGCTTGTATCAGTTTCACACTCACTCTGTTTAAACAGGAGGATTCACTGAAGCTTTTTGGTCTTTTGTTCATCAACTTGAGTCATTTCTCCACAGAAGTTGTTTCTCATCCAAGGATGCATGTGCACTCTGCGTCTGGACTTTCAACAGCACAAATGTAACCCACAGTTTTACTTCCAAAATGTAATTTAATATTAGGCTATGACAATGCCAGTCACAAGTGATAATAATAAACTAAATGTGTGGGGGTTTTTTTTGTTGATAAATAAATATTGTATAGAGGAGAAACTTCTATTACAAGAGGAAGTTTTCTGCGCTGACTGTAGAACCACATCTTCTTAAAAAGTTCATGGAACCTGGTTTATTTAAAGTCACATCTGGGGAACACACACCACATCCTTTTAAAAGTGACTCTACAGGCCACTCCAACATCACACACAGAAGCTATGAGTGAACAGGGACTGACTCTGACACAAGATCCACATGATGAAGATTATAAAGGCCTAATGAACATGGTATAATCCTCGCAGCAGACAGTCTGTCATCTGTCACTATGATCCAGGATAATCTCTTATGTAAAAACCAAAGCCTCAGTGTGGAGAGAGGAAACAGAACACACAGTAGTCTGTAGTCTAAACCAGTTCACAGAGAGTTAACCAAAGATGTTCTTCCTGTTTGGAGCTGTGCATACAAATCGCCATGGATCCATCAAGCCAGCCATTAAAAAAAAAACTGAAAAAAAGCACTTCACTTGTCGAAAGGGGTTTTGGGATGACAGAGTACAATAACACTATTATTTTATTTTTAATTAAATATTAAAAACTACAACTGTGAGCCACATGTGAGGGATCCCTCTGCCATGTGTAATAGATGTCACGTGGAACTGAATCTAAAAAATAACAGTATTTACATCATTGATAAGAAGAAACAGTTTGTAACATAATGGAAAGTAATTTCATTGAGGAGTTATTGACAGTAATGGTAGAGTAAGTATCAGTTGTTTATGTCATTCTGTAATGTATTGTTACTTGTGTGTTTTTGATCTGTGAAGCACTTGGTGACTTGAGAGACTGAAGAGGAAGAAAAACGGGAAAGCAATACCTTCCTGGACCGACTTTTATTCTGAAATGAAGGGCACTGGAAGCGGAAGTGGAACAGTTTTCAGTCTGCCACCAGATGACGTCACTGGGAGCGAGCTGAGTGGGGAGAGTTGCTCAGTTGAAGTAAACTCATGAATGAAGAAGATAAAGTGCTGCAAAGATCCACGATGTCGAAGACAGAGTGTAAAGACATGACACAGACGGTGAGTGTGTGTCTGTGTGTGTCTGTGTGTGTCTGTGTGTGTGTGTGTGTGTTTGACCTGAGCCGGTTGTGTTGTTGGTTTTCAACCTTAACACTTTGTGACGTGTTTGTCCAGATGGAGGAAACGATGCAGCGACTTCAAGGACGATTTCAGAGCATCTCCGAACAGCTGGAGTCCAAACATATCCTTTATTTCCGCATCAAGTCTTTACATCCGGACTACAAACTCTACACTGCTCCACACTTTCTCATCTAGAAATGACGCCGGAAGCAGATGTGGTTCAAGAAGCTGTGAGGTCTGTTACACACACACACACACACACACACACACACACACACCTGAGGACATGTGTCGTCTATGTCAACTTCACATCTGGATTAAAGATAAAAACATGGCCGCAGAGGGGCGGTCACTTTCAGTTTCTGTGTGTCAGATCATTTGTCAAATTCAAATCTTAATAAAATGAGCGAAACAAAAAGACTTTAAAATACAATTGATGTTGTGTTGTTGTTGTTCTGTGTTGTTGCTGTTGTTTTGTGCTGTTTTGTGTTGTTGCTGTTCTGGTTTTGTGTTGTTGCTGTTCTGGTTTTGTGTTGCTGTTGTTCTGGTTTTGTGTTGTTGTTGTTCTGGTTTTGTGTTGCTGTTGTTCTGGTTTTGTGTTGTTGTTGTTCTGGTTTTGTGTTGCTGTTGTTCTGTGTTGTTGCTGTCTGTTTCACGTGCAGACTTTTCCTTCATTTTCACACTAAATGAAATGGGAACCCGCATCAATGACCTCGAGAAGAACGTCTCAGACCTGATGACACAGGCTGGTATGGAGGAGCAGGCAGATTCAAAGTGACAGCAGGCCCACACTTCATCTGACACACAAGCTCTTTGAATGAAACCTTCTGGAACTGTGGCTTCACTGTGGCTCTGAAGTTTCACTCTTCACTCTGCACTTTCACCAAACATCCTGCAATGAGATCTTTGAGTTGGCATTAGTGTACCTCTACAGATGATATCACTTTAAGGTTTTATCCTAATGTCAGTGTTTTTCAAGGTGCTACAATACTGCTGACAAATGTGTGTATCTCTCTGTACCAACACCAATCACAGCTTACAGAGCCTTGGATCACCATGTTGGCAGATCATTTATTTTGTAGTAACACTTTTGATTAATTTTCAAAGCATGTACAATCAGATCTTCAGACATTGACTCCTGTGGTGTGACCAAAAGAACAAAGAACCAGAGTTTTATTCATGATTTATTATTCTTGCTCATATCCTTAAAGTGTAACTTACAGATTTAAATGCCTCCTACCTCATATCAAATATCTTGAGAGCATTTTTAATATCTTGAATGCAGCATAGTTTCCCCTCCACTATTAGTGCCACCAACATGTATGTGCATGTACGCACATGATGGGCATGTGTTGTTAGAGCAAGACATGTGAACAGTGCAGGACATTGTAGCTCAACAGCGCCTCTAATGGTCAAACCCTCAACAAGCTTCAACACATGGAAGAAGGAGACAAAAAACAGAAAACACTACAGAAGTATTCTTTGTTTTAAAAACTGTTTACAGTTGAACTACTTTATTATTTCCACATAACCACTTTAAAATTGCAAAACAAAGTGACCAGTGGCTCCACATGTTGTTTTTTGGATGACAGGCTGAATTGTTGTTTATTTGAGGCCGGCAGTTGATCTTGATTTCTGAGAGAATACACTCTTGATCACATCTATGCAGTTTATTCCTGAGTACAACACAGGTAACATACAACTAGTGCCATATTTCATATCTTCCTTTTTTCCTCTGACATGTTTAATGCACATTATGTTGCAGTCAGATCAGATGAACCAAAGTATATACTGTGTTTTCCACTGTGCACCAAAGTGAATCAAATTGCCAAATAAAGATTTTTTTGAACACTTTCTGTGGCTGCTTCTTGGAATCACTTCATTATATTTTACATCACACTATTTTTTCCAAAGAGCTCCAATCATCACATTATTCCTTTACTGTTGATATGTGTGTCACTACAGAGGTCACTTACAATATCAGTTAACAAAATTAAACGTCTACAGTCTTCTGGACTGGATTTTTTACAATCTGTCTATGATAAGTTGAAGACCATAGAACAGTTTATCTCTATTGGCCTTGTCAAATTCCCAGGTTGGTGCAAATATTAGATTTCTATTAATTCTATTAATTCACCCTATTTTCTAATTTTAAGAAAGTTGGTTATTTACATATGATATAAAACATACAATGAAATCTATTTTGCCCTGGATTTTGAAACTATGTTTTGTTTTATTGATCCATTTAAAACTACAACTATGTCTTCATGTTTACTGCCAGCTACATGCTAACTTTTTGTTGCCACACGTCAAGCATCTGTTCCGTTTTATACAACAAAGAGAAAATGGAAAGATCCATATGGAGTGTGATGCATGTTGAAATTTAGAATTTAAAACCTTCACATGTGACTGCAGTGTAGATTTAAATTTTGGTTGTATTTCCTCCTAAGTAGAAATTCATATCAGTCTTTCCAATACTTTGTCCCATCAGTCGTATGGCAGCATAAAGGATGTGGAAAGCAAATAAATCAAAAGTCATAACTCCGTAATTCAATCATGCTGCACTAAATTCCACATACTCATAGATTTACATTTACATTACATTTACATTTAGGGCACATAGCCAACGCTTTTGTCTAAAGCAACTTACAATAAGTACATTTGTCACAAGATAGATATATACAGTACCAGTCCCCTAAATATGGCAGATTAAATCAGTATTGTAAATTTGCTTTGGTGAGTTCACATAAAACTTCAGGATATCACATACAGTAACTGCACACAGATAAGAAAGTCAACAAACAGTTATTACCAATATTAACAATAAAAGCTATAATAAAAGAAATCACAAACCTCTCTATCCTGCTTCTTATCCTTTCCAGTCTTGCAGAGAAGGGTCACTGAGGTTTATAAAGGTTGCACAAAAGATTTTAAATTTGGTTCCAATACAAAGTAATTCACAAAAGACAAATTCCACTGAAGGTGCTACAGTGGTGTAAAACGCTGCTAATATGAGACTATAACTACCTCTAGTGGTCACTTTTGGTCATTACAGTGAGTGGATGTGTCGCTTGCCATGGTGCTGAAATTGAATTTGCTCATCTTGCTGTTGAGCTTCTGTGACTGGAACTCCTGTTCAATCCAGTGCAATCCAAATCTACCTTTACTGTGACACATCAGTCAGAAATACCTTCAATAAACTGTAGTTCAGTTTAACACCACATTTTAACTATAAACACAATTTGCAAATAATGACTTAAGGCCTGTAAGTGACCACAAGAATTTGGGCATTTTGATATATTTTGATCCCTTTTGCTCAAATTAAGAGTTCCAGATACTACAGTATATACAGTGATTAGCCACAACATTAAAATCAGTTACCTGCTTTATATGTTGTGACTGATCAGTGTGATTTTAGACAATACTGTGCCTCTAACTTTGTGGGTTTTAATATGGCGATGCCGTAAAGACATGAAGGTACACGAAGAAATGCTTTTCTCAGTTTGATGTGGAATGAACCTGCACACAACCCTGACCTCAACCCCATCTGACATATTTGAGCCTGTGAGCCAGGCCTTATTATTTGTTTATATCACTGATGCTTAGTGGGAGCAAATCCATGCATTCACATTCCATAATCTTGTGGAAAGCCTGAAACGTGAAAAGCAGACACCGCCTGTTGTTTAGAAACAAGATGTTCAGTTATCACATATGGGTTTATGTTTAGGTGATGATATATAAAACACGTACATGTGGGGTGGTCGTGGATGTACTCTCAGTGTTTGTGCTGTAGATGGCAGTATTAAATAATGGAGGGTTTCCACTCTCGACAGTTTACTGCCACACTCACCTCTGAGACTGTGTAAATGTGAATGTGCACATGTGCATGGCAGGGGGCGCCCATGTGCATGTGCACGTGTGTGTACTCAAATACTAATAAGCCTCACTAGCATGTCTATACCAGCCAAAGAGCAACAACACTGCTAACTGTGTTGCCATGGCAACTTGCACCGAAGCAGACACTTGTCAGCTTTAGTAAGTGTAATTATGTGTGTGCATGTTTGTTTGTGTGTACACGTGTGTTTACCCGTGTGTCACTATGTGTACTACGATGTGTACTGGAAGACAGCCAAGACAGGGGGGAGAGGAGAGGGGCTCTGCAGTGCGTTAAGCTGATGCATCTTTGAGTGTGAGCAACAGAGACACTTTTAGCTTTTGCACGACACAACTTTAGCAGTTGGGGCAGTGAGCGAGTTCACACAGTCTTCTCGTGGCGGTGGAGTGGTGAGTGGGTGTGTGGAGAGCTGGGCCCGGCAGTGAGGGGAGGCTAAGTGGTTCAGCCCTGTGGCCCACGCCGGGTGCTCTCCACTGGGATGGTGGTAGGTGGGGCTCTAATGGCCGTCTGCATGGTTGGCACTCTGAACTGGATAGGGGCAAGCACTTCAGAGAGAGAGAGAAAAAGAGAGAGAGAGCGTGTGTGTGTGTGTGTGTGTGTGCGTGTGATTGCATGTTGCTGCGTACACTTGTCCGCCCTGTTTCTCCCTCTCCCTAATGCTACTTTTGCACACTTCACTTACAAGGTGAAACACAAAGTAAATGTCAATAGCCTCAAGTGGCTTCCTCTCTTCTATCTATCTATCTATCTATCTATCTAACAAAACACAATGTAAAGTTCCACAGAACATTTTGTTTTGCCATCACTGTAGCAGATTCATATAGCAAACATGTTTGCTCTGTTTTAACCCCCAAGCTGAGAGAGAAATCATTTATTTTCTTTGGTACTTGATTCATTCAATGACTTTACACTACAAACAATTGGTCATATCATTATTGTATGTTGTATTGGTTATTTTGTATTTTGTCTGAATAAATATGTACTTATATACACAGATTTGCACCTGGAGGACCATCAGTGGTGCTGGTGATTTTTGTGCAAAGCAGAAGGCTGCACTCGGTAAATGTTCGTCACATGTTGTACCTTCTGTTGACGTCTACAAGGTCAAACACACACACACACACACACACACACACAGCAGCTCTGCGGGGGCGCTCTCTTCATCTTTGACAATACTTTCAGACTGAAAGTCCTGAATCGCTCAGACAAACCACAGAGAACAAGAACCCACAGAGGTGTTGGCAGAGATAAGAGTTAAAAATAGATTGTCTCTCTCTCTCTCTCTCTCTTCTACAATACACAAACACGCACACATGCGTGCACCCAAACACACACACACACACACACACACACACATGCGTTCGGGGGACACCTGTGTGTTCCCTACCACCTGGGGCTCTTTGATTCCCGGTGTGCTTTAATCTGCGCTGTGCTCTCGTCTGCTTTTGAAGTGAAAATCCCCCCTCACTCTACACACACTCTCTCACACACACACACACACACACACACACACACACACACACACACACACACACTCACAAAGCAAACCACAGATCGCCACTACCTGTTATCTTTGTCATAGTAAATACAGACTCACAGCCCATCTGAGAGCCCAGCTCCCATTCACATATTCTCTTCTCTTCTATTCTGTTCTGCTGGACGGGTGAAGAGCTGTGCCTAAAATTACCACAGCAGTTATTTCAGGGCCTTTGTAACATACATCACCTTCTGTCTGCTGTAATACATTTATATCTACAGGAATAGAAAGTGATTTCCAGCTTTGCTCTGCCACAGATGTCATTTCGTGGCGGCAGGAATAGGGACAGAGGTTCGGGGGAAGAGCAGGAGAGAAAAGGTCTGCAGGAGAGGAGGGGAAAAATGACATGATGTTTTTATTTAACAACCTCTCATCATTTACACACAGGATGGAAATGTTTTCTATATGGATTGTCATGAAACATAAAAAATAAAATAGAATTTTGGGAAA